TTGAGTTGTTTTCCTTTTTGGGTGTGAGTTATTAATGAGTACATATATTTGATGTTTGGTATGCCATGTAAACATAGCTCTATGGACAATTTGTAAGTTTGCTTCCGTTTGGCCCCTTAACTTTGATAATATACGTTTACTTAGTTTGAGGTCGTAGGTAATCTCCTGATTACTGGCCGGTTATGTCCTTAACCCATGGGGCGGGTTGGGGTCATGACAAACATTTTTAGACCTTTTGGTGACTAAAGAATTTAGTCACCCTATATTCAATTTTTGCCGACGAAAAAAGAAAAATAATAGCCAAATGATACTTTTGGCTACCAATATATTAGTCGCTATGACTCAATCTTTGGCTACAAAATATTTAGTCATTATTCATTATTATTTGGTGACAAAAAAAAAAGTATAGTCGCTAAAGGTTGAATATTTTTTTAAGAGGGAAACGAATTAACTTTGGCGCCCGATATACACTCTATTGACACACACTTTTGGCTCTTTATTATGTCTCTATCACACACACACACACATACACTGTTAGGAAATTGACCCTTCCTAACCAAGATCGGTGAGACACGAAATAACAAACAAAGAAGAAAAATGAATCAAACAAATAACACAAGGATTTACTTGATTCACCGCAGAATAGAGCTACGTTCACAACTGCTACGCTTTGTCACTGTGATCAGAAAAATACAACTCTCTCTTAAACTAAAAGAGGCACCCCCTCATCTATTTATAACTATAGAATTAGGGTTCATAGAAGCACATAGGAATTACAAAAGTACCCAAAAAGTGAACAGTACTTATTAGGGTCCACCGACCTAACAATCTCACACTTGGAACATGATAGCACAAGCTCTCCATCATCTTCATCACATAGAGGAACGCCGCAACAACTCGATTTTTCTTCATCAATCTTGAAGGCCAACTAAAGTTGCACACAACTTTAGTTTGTCAATGGTAACTGTCTTGGTCAACATATCTGCTGCATTTTTACTGCCTTGGATCTTCTCAAGAGACAAGACTCAATCATCTACAAGTGATCGAATGAAATGGTATTGGAGCTGAATGTGTTTCGTCGTAGAATGAAAAGTTGGATTCTTTGCAAGATAAATAGCACTCTGACTGTCACTACGCAAAATACTCATCTATTGCATTTTGTCCAACTCTGCTAGGAAATTCTGTAGCCAAGTCATCTCCTTCCCAGCTTCAGTAATAGCAACATACTCAGCCTCTATTGTAAAAAGGACCACAATCTTCTGTAATTGTGAAATCCAACTCACTGCTATACCACCTAATGTGTAAACATAACCAGTAGTACTCTTTCTGTTATCCATATCACCAGCCAAGTCTGTATCAACATAACCATGTAACCCGATGCCAGTTCGTCTGAAACAAAGTACCATGTCTGTAGTACCACTCAAGTATCTAAGGATCCAGTTCACTACCTTCCAATGCTGCTTGCCAGGATTACTCATGTACCTACTAACCATTCTCACTGCATGTGCAATGTCTGGTCTAGTACAAACCATAACATACCTTATGCTACCGATAGCTGAAGTATATGGAACATGTTCCATGTAAGCCTGTTCATCTTCGGTCTTCGGAGACTGCTCTTTGGTAAGTCTAAAGTGGCTAGCCAATGGAGTGCTCACTAGTTTTGCATCATCCATGCTAAATCTGTTGAGAACTTTCTTGACATACTCAGCCTGTGACAACTTCAAAGTACCATTTGCCTTGTCCTTGTGAATCCTCATAGCAAGGATTTTGTTTGCAACTCCAAGATCCTTCATCTCAAATTGGTTGGACAAAAGTTTCTTCAATCTTTTTATCTTTTCAATGCTAGATCCTGCAATAAGCATATCATCAATATATAAGAGCAAAATAGTATAACTTTTCTCAAACTTCTTGAAATAACAGCAATGATCTACTTGACATCTTGTAAAACTACTGCCACACATAAACCCATCAAACTTCTTATACACTACAACAAAAAGGGTCTATGGTGACGAAAACGCGTGACGAAAAAATATTTTGTCTCCAAATATGTATGTTTTAGTGATGAAAATAAGATTTCATCTCCAATTGTACTATTTTTAGAGACGAAAACCAAATTTCGTCACCAAATGCTTAAAATCAAATAAAACAATAGGTGACAAAAAATTTATTCGTCTCTAAATTTTATTTTTCATCACAAAACAATTTCCCGTCCTTGGAAAATTTGGCGGAAGATTTGGCGCCATTTTGGAGACGAAATTTTTCATCACCATTGTAAAAAAATTTAGAGAGGAAATAATTTCATCTCCAAATGTATTATTTTTAGAGAGGAAAACCAAATTTCATCACCAAATGCTTAAAATCAATAAAAAATAAAATTGAACCATAGATATCTCTCTCTGTCACTCCCTCACCCATACATCTCCGTCACACCGTCCATTTATCTTTATCGCACTAGTTAACCCGCACGTCACCGGCCGGCGCTCTCTATAACAAATCTCTCTCTCTCTCTCCTCGTGCCATCTTTTCGCTTTTCTGAGCTCCCTCTTCCCTCTTCTCTCTTCTCACTTTTCCAACCTCCGTCCCCCCACTTCTCTATCTCGCTATCCCCATTCTCGTCTCTCACTTTCGTAACTCGTTTTTTCCCAATTTGAACCCTAATTTGTTGGATGCTTCGCTGCCTACGTCCTCCTCACTTGGTTTTTCTCTAACTCTAACTTGGTTGCTGTCTCTCTCTCTCTAGTTGTCCCCAATTTCTAACCCTAACTTTTTCCCATAAATGTAAGTTGCTATGTAGAATTTAGTTAGTGATAGTTGTTGATGATATAGTTCTAATTTGGGGTGCAGAATGGGCTACCAATTTCGGGTTTTTTGTAGCTTACTTGTTAATTTCGGTCAAGTTTCAGATCTTGTAAGTTTAAAGGGAGGCTTATGTAAAGAAATTCTTTTACATCTCCTAATGGAAGGGATTTTACAGAAATTCTTAAATATGTGGTGATATTTTTTTATCTATTATTTGATAAATATCTTATTACTTGCTTTATCCACTACTACAAAAATAGTTAAAAATCACACTTTAATAAATGAAAATATCTCACTTTTATTGGAAGTGTAATAAAAAAAATTAGATTAATATTTTAATCACACTTGATTTGATTGAGTGTAATAATATTTATTTTTTATATCACTTTTCAATTAAGTGTGATTATTTATATTTTTTTTAATCACACTTTCTAATTAATATATAATTATATTTATTTTTTAATAAATATCTTATTACTTGCTTTATATTTATTAAGATTTTTTATTGTATCTTCTTTGAGATTTTATTCTCTGTATGTATGATACATACACACAGAACAAACCAAATGTTTGCTCTCCTTCTCATATCCCCAATCGCTCTTCCTCTTATCAACTGACCATTGCCCTTCACTCATCGTCCCTCTCATCGACGGTGATCACCGTCCCTCACTGTGTCTCACCGTCTCATCGCCACAGTCAGTACACCGTCTAGCCTCCAATTGATTTTGATTTAGGTCTCTCTCTCTCTCTCTCTCTCTCTCTCTATATTTCCCTATTTCACTCTAACTCTAGGGTTTTTATTTTGTTTTTTGATGCTGTAGAATGTTGATTTCTATGAAATGAGTAAATGTGTTTTGATTTTTGTCCTAGATTTAGGGGTTTTTTCTATGTAGAGGCTTGATCTCTTATGCTAAGGAATAAATGTATTGATGGAGATTTGAAGTATTTTTTCTGATTGATTACAGCAAACCTGAATGTTTCAAGTGGATTACAGAAATGCGAGTCATCACACCATTTGAGTTTCGAGTGGAATCACTAGCTTGCATATGCATTTCACCATTTTCCTTCCTTGTTTACTTGATTTATTTTAATCCATGCTCATATTTGTATTGATTGGGGATTGGCGTGAGTGTTGTAGTATGGTGTTTGGTTGGGTTTTTATTAATATTTATTGGTGTCATACAAGTTGTGTTAGTGGAATTTGATAACATGATAGGTGTTCTCTTTGATAGTTCTAATGGGTGCTTCACTGTAGAAAGTGTAATAGTGGATGTTAACTGGCTGTTCATAAGTGAGTGTAATAGTGGATGTTAACTAGCTATTCTCTTTGACAAATTTCAGATGGGTTTTTCTAAATTCTTGTAATGATTACTAAATTCACAACGTTAGTAATATTTCTTGATGATAATGATAGAATATTGAATACTTTATTATTTTATAATTTGGTGATAATGACAAATTTGCAGTTTTATAACAAGAATTGGAGATGATTTTGGGTTAATTTTTATTAGTAGTTTCTCTTACACTATCTTTGGATTGAATGTTTTTGAGAAACAAAGGATAGGTGGGGAAAATGGTCGATATTTATTATTCACTATGTTTGGATTGTTTTTAAGGAGGGAAGAGAAACTGCATAGAGAGGAGGGAAATGGAGGTTTTGATTAAGATAATTTTTTACTCTAAAGTATACCCCTTAGTTTGTGAGTTGTTAAAACTTATTTCTGTTTTTCATTCAATTCATGCACATACCTTTCTTTTATAATTATTGTCTAACCAAACAAGAAGGAAAGGACACCCTCCCATAGGATACCCCAATGACTTGGGTCGCATTCCCTTAATAAAAATACTCAAGTCCAAGCCTTCTTAGCTTATCTATTAAAAAAATGTTACTATAAAAGGGTTAGTTATTACCTACTTAAACAAGAGGAGGGATATCTCCCACTCCTTCCATTTCTCCTCCTATGTGTTAGATTTTGTGTAAACCTTTTGTGATATTCATTGACATCAACAATATATTTTTATCACACTGACAAGCTTGCATTATTTATTTATTTATTTATTTCGAGATGGGTTGAGGTCAGTTTGGAAAAATGATTGTTGTATTTGTATTTTGGTTAGTTTTTCTCATCAACATTGCATTAATCAATGTTGCAGGGTTGAGTGCCACTAAAGAAGTGAAAATGACTTCAACGGTTAATGACATAAATGCTTATTCTTACTTGTACCCTGCAGAATTGCCATCTAGAAAGTTTGTCTTCAAATGGTAGGCATTTTATGCAACTAACAGAAATGTATTTTATTCTTAAATGCTCACTGTTATTAAAGTTGACGAGCAACAATTTTACTTCACATGAATGGTTTATATGTAGCCTATAGGGTGAGTTAACAATCCTCCATAACTTTGTCATTATAGGATAGAGGTGCTAAATTTTCAAACATCTAAATTTACATTGTTTAAAATTATGTCAGATTGTTCTATAGTCCCAATTATTTAAAAGTTTAATTTATTGTGAAATGGGTCCAACAATGTATATCAACAATCTTGACCCATGAACAGAGAAAGGAAGAGAGAGATTATGTGAGAAGATCTAGAGTTTCTTTGAAATTTACTTCTAGGATTTCATTTGTGGTTGTCTATTTCTTTCCTTTGTATGAGCTTTCTATGTGAAATATCCTTTTGTAGGTTTTAGTTGGGTTTAATTTGTATGTTGGGAAAATTTCAATTCAGTGCAAGGTTTAAAAAAAAAATTCATTCAATTCTTTTTGCCTCTGTTTTTAATTTATTTGTGGGGTAGGGGAAATTTTAATTACTTTATCTGATGGATAAATTTGATGTTGGTTACTTTAATTTCAATGGTACAGTTTGTAGTTCTCTAATATTCCTTCATATTAGTCTTTTATATAAAAAGAAAACTCAACAATTTTTGTACAAAACTTTACATAATGGAATTTGGAGTTTAGAATAAATTTGCTCACCTGGGGAGTAGAACTTCTTAACAGGCTCTTGGAATTACTGGTCAATGCACTACCTCTGCTCATAGGCAATGAAGATAAACTGATATGGGAAGCAGATCCTTCAGGTATGAATCAAATCTATTAGTGGTTTATTACAGTGGTGGAAAGGTTTCAGCTATAGTATCAAGTGCAGAAAATAAGAAAGAAAAATTTGGGAAGTAGTTCCTTTTGCAGCAATGTAGTCATTTTGGAAAATTAGGAATGTTTGGAAATTCAATGGAACCCAAGTAAACTAGGATTCCATCACTAAAATTATAAACCTAAGAGTGGCAATTATTCAAGCGTAGAGACCATATATCTCATCATACACCATAGCAAACTCACTAACTCTTGGAACTAAAATCCATATTCTACCCTTCACTCCTCCAAGTATGCTAATATGCACATAAGTGATAATCAAATATTAACAATTTTAGCTCCCCACTATTTTGGGGGTTGCAACACAAATCATGTTTTGTCACATGGGTATTATGCTATTTCTCACTGCTCATACATGATAACTTCCTGCTTATTCAACTTAAAATTCTATCCCCAGAAGTAGTTAACTTAAAAGACACTACCATATACTTTGTAGGTTTGAATATCACTTACGAGTCTTTGATTGAAACTTTTATCTTGGATGAATTTTATTTTTTTTATTCGGGGGCCAAAATTATGTAACAATCACGAAAAGGCCCGGAGAACACCTCAAACAACTCGGGAGGGACCAATCTAAGTTGTGAAAACTTATGGAACTAGCATAGGACTCCCGATTCGAAAACTAAGTCGAAAAATGCGCTTTTCTAACACTTAAGCTTAAAAATAGGCCATCGGGGGCCAAAATCGTGCAACATTCATGAGAAGGCCTGGAAAACACCTCAAACACCTCAAGAGGGACCAAAGTAAGTTGTAAAAACTTACGGAGCTAGCACGAGACTCCCGGTCCGAAAACTAAGTCCAAAAATGCACTTTTTCACACTTAAGCTTGAAAAATAGGCCATTGAAGGCAAAAATCGTGCAACAACCATGAGACGGCCTAGGCAACACCTCAAACACCTCGGGAGGGACCAAAGTGAGTTGTGAAAACTTACGGAACTAGCACAGGACTCTCAGTTCGAAAACTAAGTCCGAAAATGCACTTTTTCACACTTAAGCTTGAAAAATAGGCCATCGGAGGCCAAAATTGTGTAACAGCTACGAGACGGCCCGAGTAACACCTCAAGCACCTCGGGAGTGACCAATGTAAGTTGTGAAAACTTACGAAACTAGCACGGGGCTCTCGGTTCAAAAACTAAGTCCGAAAATGCACTTTTTCACACTTAAGCTTGAAAATAGGCCATCGGAGGCCAAAATCGTGCAACAGCCACGAGATGGCCTGGGTAACACCTCAAACATCTCGGGAGGGACCAATTTGAGTTGTGGAAACTTACGGAACTAGCACAGGATTCCCAGTTTTAAAACTGAGTCCGAAAATGCACTTTTTCACACTTAAGCTTGAAAAATAGGCCATCGAAGGCCAAAATTGTGTAACAGCCATGAGATGGCCTGGGTAACACCTCAAACACCTCGAGAGGGACCAAAGTAAGTTGTGGAAACTTACAGAATTAGCACGGGACTCCCAGTTCGAAAATTAAGTCCGAAAATGCACTTTTTCACACATAAGCTTGAAAAATAGGCCATCGAAGGCCAAAATCGTGCAACAGCCACGAGATGGCCCGGGTAACACCTTAAACACCTCAGGAGGGGCCAAAGTGAGTTGTGGAAACTTACGGAACTAGCACAAGACTCTCAGTTCGAAAACTAAGTCCGAAAATGCACTTTTTCACACTTAAGCTTGAAAAATAGGTCATCAAGGCCAAAATTGTGTAACAGCCATGAGACGGCCCGAGTAACACCTCAAACACCTCAGCAGTGATCAATGTGAGTTGTGGAAACTTACGGAACTAGCACGGGATTCTCGGTTCGAAAACTAAGTCCGAAAATGCTCTTTTTCATACTTAAGCTTGAAAATAGGCCATCGGAGGCCAAAATCGTGCAACAGCCACGAGACGGCCCGGATAACACCTCAAACACCTCCAGAGGGACCAATGTGAGTTGTGGAAACTTACGGAACTAGCACGGGACTCCCGGTTCGAAAACTAAGTCCGAAAATACGCTTTTCACACTTAAGTTTGAAAAATAGGCCATCGGAGGCCAAAATCGTGTAAAAGCCACGAGACAGCCCAGACAGCCCAGGTAACACCTCAAAAACCTTGGAAGGGAGCAAAGTAAGTTATGGAAAATTACGGAATTAGCACGGGACTCCCGGTTCGAAAACTAAGTCCAAAAATGCACGTTTTCATATATAAGCTTGAAAAATAGGCCATCGAAGGCCAAAATCGTGCAACAGCCATGAGACGGCTCGGGTAACACCTCAAACACCTCAGGAGGGACCAAAGTGAGTTGTGGAAACTTACGGAACTAGCACAGGACTCTTGGTTCGAAAACTAAGTCCGAAAATGCACATTTTCACACTTAAGCTTGAAAATAGGCCATCGGAGGCCAAAATCGTGCAACAGCCACGAGACGGCCCAGGTAACACCTCAAACACCTCCGGAGGGGCCAATGTGAGTTGTGGAAACTTACGGAACTGGCACAGGACTCTCGGTTCGAAAACTAAGTCCAAAAATGCACTTTTTCACACTTAAGCTTGAAAAATAGGCCATCGGAGGCCAAAATCATGTAATAGCCACGAGACGGCCCAGGAAACACCTCAAACACCTCGGGAGAAACCAATATGAGTTGTGGAAATTTACGGAATTAGCATGGGACTCTCAGATTGAAAACTCAGTCAAAATGCATTTTTTCCTACTCTTAAGCTTGAAAATAGGCCATCGGGGGGCCAAAATCGTTAAACAGCCTCGAGAAGGCCCGGGGAGCACTTCAATCACCTCGGAAGCAACCGTTGTAACTTGTGTAAACTTATGAAACTAGCACGGGACTCCCGTTTTGAAAACTAAGTCCAAAAATGAATTTTTTCAACAGTTAAGCTTGTAAATAGGCCATCGGGGGCCAAAATCGTGTAACAGGCACGGGAATGCCTGCAGAACACCTCAAACACCTCGGAAGAGACCAATGTAAGTTGTGGAAACTTACGAAACTAGCACCGGACTCCCGATTTGAAAACTAAGTCGAAAAATGCATGTTAAATTGTATATTTAATTGATAAGATAATAATTGTCTAACTTGCATTCTTTTTTCTTTTTTTGCGTTTCATTTTTTTGCAGATTGGAGATTTGATATGGACATGTTTGGTAATTTGGAGAGCAGAAGCTAGCTCATTTTGTGTTTTTGTTCATATTACCTTACATGTATTTTGGTTGCGTAGTAAATTTTATATTTTTGTTAGTATTACAGGACATGCTTAGTAATTCGCACTTAATATTTTATTTTTGTAGATATTGGTAGACATGTTTTTTTGTTGATATTAGGAGACTTGTTTGGTAATCCGCATGCGGTTAATATTATATTTTTGTGGATATTAGTAGACATGTTTTTTTTTTTTTTTTTTTGGATATTAGAAGACATGTCTATAATCCACATGCAGTTCATATTGTATTTTTGTGGATAGTGCTGAAATTCGATTGTGATGTTTATGAAAATGAACAGATTTTTGTATTGATTTGTAATAAATATGTTATTGAACATGTTATTGAATAGGCCATCAAACGGGTTATTGCACAGGTTATTGAACAGGTTATTGAAATGCGCAGAGAATTTTTACTAAAAAGAAAAAATTTAATATGAAAATAGTACCCCCCTTTTAAAAAATTTTAATTTTTATTAGCGACAAATTGAAAAATGCCGCTATTAGTTTTCAAAAAACATGACGAACAATTTTTTCACATTTGTTGAATATTTCGTCGCTAAATTGAAATATTTGGTGACAAAATGTTTTTTGTCATTGAATAATTTTCTTTTCTACACATTTTAGTGACGAAATTTTTTGTCAGCTTAATCCATATCATTGGTGAGGAAAACTTTCGTCACTAAAATATATTTGGTGACGAAATATTTCATCGCCAAAAACAATTAAAGTAAAATATTATTTAGTTTTGGTGACGAAACTGATGTTTTAGAGGACGAAAAATTCAACATTTGGAGACGAAACATTTCGTCGCCAAAAATGAAAAATAGGCGACGAAACTGTTTTTCGACACCTGGTACTTTCAGCGACGACATATAGGCCACGAACGTGGTGACAAAAATTTTTCGTCGCAGATCACTTTAGTAACGAAAATTTGATATTTGGAGACAAAATCAATCTGTCACCAAAGGCCTTTTTTGTTGTAGTGTCCCTTTGAACTACATTGAATTATTAAATTCTCAAATTGCATTGTGCACAAAAGTTTCAAAAGATAGAGATATATGTTTTTAAACATAGCATGGCATATGCATTCATCTCAGGAGATTGTATAAAATATATATACTTTGTTAAGATTTTCTTATTGGGCCTTGTGCTCGCACTATGAGATTTTGTGCAGAAAATGATGTGGTGATCCCGCCGAGTTAAAGGTGTGGAATGTGGTTTGAGAGCACAAGGCTCTTTCCTTTTTGCTGTAATTATTTTGATAAGCCAAGGACTTTATATGTATGGGTTTGAAAATCACTTTTGCGTAACTAGGTTTAAGTCTTGGAATTTGTAGCCCTTGAAGGCATTAATTTGTATTTGACATATTATGTCGCATGCTATAGATTCATATTCTAGGAATGTTGAATATATGCTCGCATGTGGAATATTTTTTGTAAATCTCTTGATGTTTAATGAATACACATGTTAGAGATTGATGATGATGTCTATGTTGAAGCTTTATATTCTTTACATATATTAAGCATTGGTGTGGTTGATTTGGAAATAGGATAATGTAATTAGAAGTTGGTGAATCTGTTTTGTATTAATTATTTAGGGCATGACATTTTTTTTAAATAAAAAAAAATTAGAAACTAGTTTGGAAAAAAAATTAAAATATTTTTTTTACAGAAGAGAGGAGATTGGAATTTGGGTTTGGATTTGAAATTTTGAGTTTTTGGTCTAAAAATTGGACAAAAGATGGTTTGGGGAGTAAATTGAGAAAAATTACAAATGTGAAGGGGTAAATTGAGAAAAAAAAATACTTTAAGGGCCAAAGTTAAAAAAATATGAAACTTAAGTGAGGGGTAAGTGTAATTTGCCTATTTCTATGCCAATGTGGCATTTTTCATTTCAAATTAGACGGAAGTTAGTTTTGGAAGTAAATTAAAAAAAAATTACAAATATTAGAGGCAAAAAGTGGGGAAAAAATATTTGATGAGTCAAAACAGAAAAATTATAAAATTTAAGGGAACAAAGTATACTTATCTTATTATTTATAACCTGTTACTAATGTTATAATTGCATGATTTTCAGCTGGTGATGGTTACACGTTGAATTATTACTATTTTATTAATGTTAGGTCCCTGTGTTGTCAAATCCGGAGACAAAATCTTGTGTTGATTCAAAACTATGTTTTTCTGTTTTTGTATTGTCCGCTCGAGTGGAGACTCTTGAGCTCGAGCGTAGATTAGCAGGTCACAGTAGTTTGACAGGGCAAGCACAGATTCTGGTGGGTGTGATTTGACGCTCGAGCGGAAACTCCTACGCTCGAGCGCATCTCTGTTTCTTCGTATGCAGTTTTTGTTCAGTCCGCTCGAGCGGGCTATGTTGAGCTCGAGCGGAGATCGCGATTCAGATCCCTATTTAAAGCTGCTGACGTTGTTTTGTTTGGGACGTTTTCCTAGATCTGATAAAAAACAAACTAGGGTTGTGTTTAAAATCTTCTTGGGAGATTTTTGAGAGTTTTCCTTGATGTTCTTAAGTGAGTTCTGAACTTATGCATTGAGATTCATGCATCAAGGTGGTTGTTTCTTAAGTTTCAAGTGAGTTCTCTTCGGTGGATTCCGAAGATCAAAGCGTAGGATCCAAAAGGCGTTTGAGTCTACGCAGTCGTTAATTCGACAAGTGAAGTTGTGGTGTGGAATCAACTTCAGAATCAATTCCGTGACGAAGGTGTGGTGAAAAGAGTTACAGAAGATTCAGAGACAAATTAACTAGTGTTGGGTGATTTGTATGATTTCTTTGTAATCTTTTCGTTCTTCAGTAGTGGATTGATAGTGGCAGTTCGCCCGTAGTTTTTTATTACAATTGAAGGCTCTTCAATTGTGGTTTTTTCCACGTAAAAATCAGTTGTGTCGATTTATTGTTTATTCCAAAAAACAACAATCTAAATCACTTTCGTAAGTGCTTGTTGATTTAGATTGTGTGTTTTGGATTTTTGGGATTTGGAATATAAAATCACTCTCGTAAGTGTTTGATGATTTTAGGTTGAGTGTTTTGTTTTATTGGGATTTGGAATATGTTAATCTTGATCTAATCATAAATCACATAGGATTTTCAATTAACACAAGTTTGGAATGTTGGAAAAGATATAAGGTTTTCACTGGTTAATTTACCCTCTTATCTTATCTATAACCTGTTACAAATGTAACTATTACATGATTTTCAGCTGGTGATGTTTACACATTTTTTTAAAAGGAAAGTTACCGATAAATCCTACATGTTGGAGTTATATTTCATTTAGTTTTATAATTTTTATTTATTTATTTATTTATTGTAATCTATTTAGTTATTTTGAATGTATAATGCCTCATTTGTTATTATAATCTCCTTAATTGTTGTTGTTTGCGGGAGTGTTACGTTTGGGAAAAATACACTAAGTAGTTTTTAGGCTGTTATATTGGATTGTTATGTTTTTTGAGTGTTACATTAGAGTGTTATATTTAGGAAAGGTACACTAAAAAGTTTTTGTTAGATTGGATTGTTACATTGGAGTGTTTTGTTTGGGAAAAATACATTAAGGAGTTTTTAGTATGTTAGATTGGATTGTTATGCTTTTAAAGTATTACATTTGGAAAAAGTACACTTATATTTGAGTGTTACGTTTGGAAAAAAGTATACTAAGTAAATTTCTTATTTTTTTGTATTTTTTTATGTGTTACATTGGAGTGTTATGTTTGGAAAAAATAAACTAAGATTTTTTTTTTTTTGAAGTGTTACGTTTGAAAAAAGTACACTAAAAAGTTTTTTTAAGCGTTATATTTGAGTGTTACATTGGAGTGTATTACATTGAAATGTTATGTTGGGAAAAATACACTAAGAATTTTTTTTTAGGGTGTTACATTGTTACGTTTATAAAAAGTACACAAAAGAGTTTTTTTTAAAGTGTTATATTTAAGTGTTAATTGGAGTATGTTACATTGAAGTGTTATGTTTTGAAAAAATACACTAAGAAATTTTTTTAGAGTGTTACGTTGCTACATTTAGAAAAAAAATATAGTAAGAAATTTTTTTAGAGAGTGGAAACGTCTACCAAATCATACCAAAATTCAAAATAGGATCTCACGGTAAGATTGTCAAAACCAGTAAGATCTATCAGTGTATTAGAAAGTTCATGAGATCAATTGGAGTAACTGATTTACATGTGTTCTTCTTAAATTTATTTTTAGATAGTGTTAATGTTTACTAATTGAATTATAATTTTATTACCACGTGTTTGGTACGCTGGAAAATATATAAGTTTTTTTTATTACATATACGTCATTTTACATCTATTTTCTTCATGGATTTGTTTCATTCTTTAATGTTTAAGTGCATCACACCCTTACTAATAAAATATATAAGTATTATATTGAATGAAGTATCAAAAATTTTAGAGAAGGTACCAAAAGAAGAAATAATGATTCATTCATGTTAATCACGTGTTAAAAAAAATATATTATACTAATGACAGCACATAGAGTTCTTGTAAAGGTGTAGAAAATATCAAAGTAATAACAATTTTAATGTATTTTTCATTTTTTTATATATTTTTATTTTTTATACACATTTTACATGTATATTAAGACTAATGATTATCCATTATAAACTTTTAATGATGTAAAGGTTTAATTATCCATTATCAATTTTAAGACTAATGTTCCTTTCTTGATGTAATGAGATCTTTTTTTATCAATAAAAGTTTTTTTTTGCTGATAAAGAAAAAAAATGATTATCCATTATAGGTCGTTAACATTTCCCATGACCCTTTAATGAGATATGTATATAGCATACGATGATATTTGACAATCATTTAATGTAGGGCTCGAATCACTTTCATAGTTCATTATCATCAACATGGATGTCCATACTCTGCAGAGTATAGCATTTTCAAAAAAAAAAAAAAATCACACCTAAAACACGAACTAAAGAAAAAAAAAATCATTT